TCGTAGGCTCTGTCTCAGTGCCGATTCGTCCACGTACGACCCTTCGCGATCCCTCGACTCTCTTGACATTTCCGCCGTCGTCGGCAACCTTAAATTTGCATTTATAATTTTCTGAACTCAGAACTGTTTATCTACCGAAGAGGTCCTTCGGGCAAAATGTATTTAGAATTACGTAATTATATTCTAATGAGTATAATAAAATTCTTAATCAAAATCTAATTAAACTGGCTCCAACTTAAAATAATAGGTTATCGATCTGATGATTATAAGAAATATTAAACAGGACCCATTAGAACACATGTGATATTCCAAGTTTCTATATTGGTGAAATGAATAGAAAACTGAAGATCAGATTGTCAGAACATTTAGCAGCTGTAAGATTAAAAATTAAAAATTCTACTATTTTTCATCATTTTAGTACAGTATTAATAATTGTGAAAATAATATTAATTTAATAATGTATAAAGAAAAGTTAAAGAACATTTTGCCGCAATTATGCAAAACAATACGGTTAATTTAAATACGGGTGTGTTGATAGCAGTTAGATACTTCAAGGGGAGTCAGGGTTCTAGCAGAGTGTGCAGTAGTTCCAACAACACGTGCTAATCGGTCATTACTACTATGTCTCCAGGGAAGACGAAATTTTTATTTCCATAGAAAAGTTTTTGTGGTTTACAACTACGAAAAGCTACACGAGGAGATGAACTACGGTGTACCGAAGGTGAGTAAAATTTATTGGAAAAGCTTATGGTTGTACCGTGTTTCCCGGAAAATAAGACAGTGTCTTATATTAATTTTTGGTCTGAAAAATGCGCTAGGTCTTATTTTCAGGGGATGTCTTATTTTTTCCAGGAAGAAAAATTCACATTTATTATTGAACAAAAAAATTCCCAAGTTGAACTTAGACGAGAGTGACAGATATCCGGTGTGTCGAACTGTCGCCTTTTTATAGCGTCAACATCGGACTCGATGACCAATTAGTGCTTTCTGAACCGTAGCACTATGCAAATGTGATGTGGCGTGATTCCCAGCCGACCAATTAGCCATCACCAGCAGTAACGTTATGCAAATCTGTGATTCCCAAGCCATAGTCTTATGCAAATCATGCCGTGTGGCGTAATTGTCTGCTGACCAATCAGTTAGCTGTACTTTCAAAAAGCCAACGGCCACTTTCAACCATCTGTCGATGACTGTTACGACTAAAAAAAAACTTTTGTAAGTCTTACTTTCAGGGGGAGGTCTTATATTTCGCAATTCAGCAAAATCTGTGCTAGGTCTTAATTTCTGCAGATGTCTTATTTTCGGGGAAACACGGTATGTCTTATAAACAATTACCCTCGGTAAGTAGTCTATGATGTTTTTGTTTTATAGCGTTTTTTAAATGAGTGGTCCTTTATATATTGTATGTGTTTTGGACATGTATGTCTCTATTGTAAATAAAATTAAGAGAGAAAATGTTGGTGTATGGCTTATAAACAATTACGGAAATTTATTATGTAATTATACAGTTTAAGGGAATACGAGTTTTTTAATTACAGTATTTTTTTTAAAGAAGGTATATTTAATAGACATTCAGAAAACGCATAACATTTTTCCGGGCGAACTGTATATAAAGTGCAATAAGCAAAAAATCATAGGACTACTTATCGATTGTGCCCCGTTCGAGACGCCATTGCTTCAGCTTGTTTTCGTCGCGGTACGGCACATTGGACGGCGGACTCCTACGAAGCGTATCACGTGACATTTCTCATGCCACCCGGTCACATGAATATTCTGTCTCTCCGCATATCACGTGTTCCTGATAATAATAATTAATAATAATAATAATAATAATAATGATGATTGACTATATGAAACAATAAATGTAAAACCTCTCGCTAACGACAATAATTAATCATGCAGGGACGAATTCTATGGGCTTTCTTAGCATGCGCCGCATGATTTAAGAGAAACTTTTGACTGTCAATATATTTTTTTATATCAGAACAAATGTGCCAATAATAATTTATTCTAACGTGTAAACTCTTTTATCATTTGTGTTTGCTATTATATTGGGTGCGTTTACTTTTAGCTCCGATCTCGCCCCTAGCGCGCTCAGCCTGTATACTTTTTGTTAGCTACCAATGAGCACGGCGTTTACTTTTCGCACCCATGACGTCATTGCTAGCATTCCTAGCGCGCTCGGCGTGCTCGGAGAATTTACAACGAGCTTGGAGTTTGTTCAAAGATGGCGGCGTCCATTACTGTGTATACTTTTACGAGCGTGCTAGTATGACGTCAGGCTGAGCTAGGTGTCAGCTCGGCGAGCTTGGAAGCTAGCAAAAAGTAAACGCACCCATTGATAGCTAGTGGCTAGCCGTTTTAAGTCAGTGCAATGCTTGCGGGAACTCTATCGCTTGCTGGGTGGAGGTTTTCCGTAGGGTTTCTCACTTCCCGGTCTTTTGCTTCTCCAGGTATTTCGGGAAAAAAGTGAACTGTTTTTTCCGGGATAGAATTAATTATTTTTAAGATATACAAAATATCGTGAAATCAAATGATATAATTATTTTTAACTTTTTAAAGTAATTTAATACGTTCTGCAACCTCTAAAATCATATTAATAATGCTGTGTAAAATTATATATTAAAAATTACCTTTCGAATTACGTAGAAATTTTCATAAATAGAAAAAAATTAATAAAGTCTGCTTGAAACTTCATACAACAACAACAAAATGCTTTGAATTGAGTTGAAAATTTAAAAAAATGAACTTAGATCAAACTTATAACTCAAAAAGATAATTTTCGTTTTTTAGATAAAACATATAAAAATTTACAATAATATTTTGTATTAAGATTTTAAAAAGCAAAGATAGTCAATACTCCAATCACTCAATCTGATTCTTATTTTAGTAATGAAAAAACCCGCCACCGAATGCCCTTTCCGATTCAATTGATGTTAGTGGAATCGTGTTTAATACATTTAAGAAAAGACATATGTTATGTGTTTTTTCACCTGTAGCTTGGAAGATTTCTAGTTCGTTTTCGAGATTGTAGTAGGGGAAATACGTACAAAATGACATAGGCAACATAATTCAAATTTGGCGGTCTCAAGCGCACAACTGACCATGACACCACGTTATCCAAGCGGCTTTTACTAACCTGTCAAAATGTGAACGCACTCCTCATTCGTCCGTGTGTCATGGCCGACGACAAGAAATGATACGTTACGAGTTTTTTTCCTCGCAACAAGTTTTTTTGTATAGATGGTAAGCTTTTCACTATTTTATCTACTTGTGTAGCATTTATTTCAACCCTCAAGAATTTGTTGTTGCACTTAAATAACTTTTTCCATTAAAAATAACATCTTTGTATTTATTTTATAGTTTTGTTTTTTTATAACATTATATGGACAAAACGACATACATAGGCAACGGACATAATGACATACCTGTCATTCAGTCGATAAGAGCTTAGTCAAGGAACTTACCTTAATCGCTTAACGTTTTATTAATTATAAAAAATGGCTTCCAAAAAAGTCTTTCGTTATTGTTTAAAAGAAATTTTAGTATAAAACTTTATTTTCTTTCTTACATATTATTTACAAACTTATTATCTTTCACATAACAAAAAACCTGCAACGAATCACGTGACTCGACAAACATCTCTAGTTTTAACTTCTACTCCTAATATGAAGGCAATTAAATCAAAAAATGAGTCCAAAGCTCCGCCAGAGAAAAGGAGACGAAACATTATTAAAAAGTTACTCGAAGAAGAAAATTTTCCTGATAATTCTCATGATGATGAAGAAGACTGTCCATGCATATATTGCAATGATTTTTTTTTCCCGATTTAAGCCTGGAGAAGACTGGTTAAGGTGCTTAAATTGTTTCCGCTGAGCTCACGCTTCTTGCGCTTACGTTTCTAAAAGAGCCAAGAGTTTCATTTGTGAACTTTGTCAGTAATTTTATAGTTTTTACGTGTATGTCATTTTGTCCTTACGTAATGTGTCATTTTGTCCATATACTATGGACAAAATGGATTTTGGATGATCTCAATTAAACTGACAATATTTTTTTTCTAATATTTTAATATTGTAAATGTTTAGTATATTTCATAGGTAAAGAATCAAAGATGATTGGTGTAGAATATGACAGTGCTGTGATTTACCAATAAAGAGTTATGAACCTAAAGCAAAACCGTATGTCATTTTGTCAGTATTTCCCCTACTTCTTTTGCTCTCTAGTATTCTTGACTTGTCTGCCTCGGCTGCTTTAATAGAAACATAAAGCTTATAGCCCGATAATTCGGTAGTTCGTTTGTCTTTAATAACCAGGTTTATGAAGAAAAACTTCATACTTGCAAACTTCGTACTCGTTTGTATCCTTGCCCAATTTGCACAACCTGGCGTAATGTAGTTATTGAAGCTACTGGGCAGGGTAAAAAATTAAGACAGCGTAAGCGCAATTATTCCAAATATTACAGGTTCGGACAAGTAAATAATTTTAAGAGTCCTGCCACAAACAATCTACGTATTGACTATAAATATATTTCAACTCCGATTTTGATATTATTAAAAATGAATTTTAAACCCTAATTTAAAGATTCTTAATCTAATAAAACATAGAGTCCCATTGGACGTAGGCCCCGAAAAACAGATCCGCCTCTGATCGTGTGTCATATCTTGAGGAGGATCAGATTAATGACTATTGTGCTTATTATTAGCATTTACAATTTATTTTATAAAACTACCCTACCCTGAATATTAAGATTTTTGCCATTTTATAATAATTGAAAGTAAAGTTATTTTTGATACAATATAGTAACAGATGGCGTTACCAAATCTTGCCGAGAAATTTAAGCAACTCGTTGCTGGATTTATTTTATTGCTCAAGTCATATTTTGTTCTTTGGATGAAAATTAACTTTTCAATAAATGTATTTTCCAAGTTTACAAAAAAAAATTAAAAAAGAATGTTTTAAGAAAAATTGTTGAATACATTTGACGAGGACTGTCGAAAAATATGGTAGAGTCCCTAAATAACGTCCACAGTAAAACGGAGAGAGGGGTTATGAAAGCCGAACAGGGGGAAAGAGGAATTGAACTTCAATGGAGGTCCGTTTTATTTTATTATATTTTATCCACTTTTTGCATTTTATTATTTATATAGTGATAAAAGTTTTACGGGAATTTGAATTTTGTTGGACGTCCAAAGAGGAGAGGGGTTACGGAAACTTGGACAAACTGGGACAATGGAGAAGGGAGAGTAAAAATTTTAAGAAAAATGCGGACGTAATTTATAGAGAGCCACATTTATGAAGTCCGGCCAGGGCTACATTTACCACGAGGTGCAAGTGGGGCCTCACTTTAAAACTTCACTCTTCACATAAGTGGATTGTTTTTTATATAGCTTTATCATTTAAAATTAAACTACTTTACTTTTTTAAAATACAGTAGAGCGTCGATTTTCCGAAAGTCAATCATCTGAAAGAATTCCAGTCGGCAAATTTAAATTTTTGCCAGTGCTGTGGCGCTTCAATCTTTGGCTATGTCTTGGGCTACTCAAATATTTTACGTTTTTGATACTAAATTAACATCTAAAATATACTTTTTTATTATTTTTATATTTTTCAATATATTTATTTTGTTTGTACAAAATAAAAAAATAATTTTTAACGATACAATAGTCTTTGTAAGGCGATCGACGAAAATTCAACGCGAAGCGACACGCAACGGAGAAAAATTTCGACATCAGATACGTTAAATTATTTTTTCATACGTAAATCAGTTATCCGGACAACCCCAGTCCCCAATTGATTCGGAAAATCGACGCTCTACTGTATTAAATCTAGGCCTATAACGTAAAAATTAGAGGCCCTAAAAAATTTGAATGGTTTTCAGAAGTCTCGGAGCTATAGGGTCATCAGTGTCCAGGGAAAGATTGATTTCGTGCTATCAAAAACCTATTCGTTATATAGAAATACTGAGATTCGCTTTGCTGATTTACGCTCTTCGAGGTTAGCACCCCTGGCATTTGCCTCTTTTGCCAGTTCCTGGATAAAAATCTAGATAATAATCATTCTTTTAACATGAAACCTGAATGAAAAATAAAATTCGGGAAAAAACTTTCATTAAGATGTTAATAGTTAAATTTTAAACATAAATAGTTTAACTCGTTACATACAATTTAAGATGCATTGTTACTTAATTGAAATGAAACTTTGACTTTATATGAAATAAGTTAAGGTAATTTATTTTCATTATTTTAAATATTTAAAATAGTTTTCCGGAGAAACTATACAAGTTTAAAATAACAATTTTAGGCAAACCTCGTAATTTTCAATGTTTAAGGTTTTTGCCTTTTTTTCATATTTACTTTTAATTGTCATTTCAGTTTTGCCGTTTTATAATCCATTTGGAAATATGCAGTGACTCAAAGTCATTAGGAGAATGAAGAAAGAAATGTAATTAGAACTTTTTAATTTTTGAATATATATAAATAAAAATCTGTTTTTATTAGTTAGTTCTTAACAAGAAATATTATAACATATTTATTTCACTTAAGGATTGCAATTTAGAACAGAAAAGTAGAGAAACAAAATCTACGTAACGATGGTCAGGAACAGATCACTCACTTCAATTTTAAATTTAATTATACCAAAAGATTGAATATTTCAATATTTTATTAGGTTGTCTTTTCTTTCTAGCACAGAATTCAATCTGTTTGGCAGATTGTTTCGCATAAAATATGAATAAATATATCAATTTCGCAGCATAAGGAAGTATGCAGCAAAAATTCAAGCGGTATTTTCTACAACTTACGTATGTGACTAGTTTTTCCGAAATGAATTTAGTAAAAATTAAAACGAGGAACCGGCTAACAGACACATCTAAATAATTTAAAACTAGCAATGACTAATATTTAACTAAATATTTTCAATATATTACGTTTACATCACTTCCAGAAGCTAAATTAAGTATAACTATGCTAATTTATAATTTTATATATAAATAAATAATCGTGATTTAGCGGAATTTTTTCCTTCTCTTTTTTTCTTGTACGCAGCCCGCGTCAGTTCAAAAGTTTTGAAATGCAGCCCTTACATAGAAAAAAGTTGCCCATCCCTGATTGAACACATGCCTTTCACTCCCACAGGCTGCGATTTATGCCAAAACTATAACGTTTTCTTCTCCATGTTTTGGCTTTGTTGGACGAACTGTGAACAGAATTGGCCCAAGTTAAAACTTGGGCCAATTCTGTTCACAGTTCGTCCAACAAAGCCAATGTTAAATTTGCAGTAGACTGAAAACATTACAGCTTAACCTAGTCGTAATCTTTTATTCTCTGTTTCATATTATAGGTAAATACACGTAATCAGTGTAAACGTCCACAATAATAAAACAGTTTTATTCTAATTTAAACTTATTTTTACATACAATTTCACCTTCTGTATAGATATTTCTCGTATAGACATTTTTTAAAAACAATTCTTAAATAATTCGCAAATGACAAAAATTCAAACGGTATTTTATTCAAATTCGTTCGAGACTGCATACTATAATACCAAAAAACTTACTAATACACCTTATCTTGCAGCCGAAGTTTATTACTTCTAACGTTTTCGGTCTTGTTAAAAGACCTTTCTCAAGAAAATAAAGCAAATAAAATAACAAACTGTATAAATCGAACGCTTAGTACAACGAACAAGCTTTTAGAATATTTTTGAACTAACCTATAATCCGTTGCAAAGTGAAAAATCACGCCAAAACTTGCAACGGATTATAGGTTAGTTCAAAAATATTCTAAAAGCTTGTTCGTTGTACTAAGCGTTCGATTTATACAGTTTGTTATTTTATTTGCTTTATTTTCTTGAGAAAGGTCTTTTAACAAGACCGAAAACGTTAGAAGTAATAAACTTCGGCTGCAAGATAAGATGTATTAGTAAGTTTTTTGGTATTTTATTCGTTTTCAAACGGTTCATCACAAATAATTACCAGAATAGATTTCTGAAAAATTTATTCGTATTCGTATTTTGGTAAATGTGTGTACACTTTATCTGTAAATCTATATCTATATTATTATTATTATTATTATTTTATTATATATATATAAAAATGGACGTGTGTGTCCCTATATTTCACTTTTTAGCCAAAACTACACATCGCACATGAATNAGATATGAGGCTGAAAGTGGTTGAAAGTGGCTTTCTATTTCGAATGTTTTGTTCGAATTTGTTCGAATTAAATTCGAACATAAAATTTGAATATTGGTTCGATTATAGAACGATTGTAAACGTTCCAGAAACGTTGAAAATAGTTCGTTTGACTGGACGTGAACAGGAGACGTTCAGAAATAGAATCGGAACCATAGAATGAGAAAACGGGTAAGATTGGCTATAATGTAATTATCTTAATCTTCACTATCGTTACTTTTTGTCCACAAATAAAAACCCAGCGAAGCAGGTCTTTGCAGCTAGTATTAAATAATTTTAAAATAGAATTTATATATTTTAGAAGATTTAGCACAGAGAATAGAAATTTTAATCAATGTACAATACACATTGAATATGAATTTGTCTGATATTTAATTAAAATCGTCTTATTTTTTTTCATTTAGGTAATCTTCACCCTGAAAATACAAAAAACAAACTGAATTTTGTTCTTCTCCTTTTTAATCTTGCAAGAATGAAATTTATAATTTATTCTTACGAATTTGTATTTTACATGTTCCAACGTTGCGAGTTTATCTTATTGAGAAGGAGTTATGAGGGGAGTATACTTAACATAAGTCTTTTAAAATACAATATTTTTTTTCTAATATGAATTTAACATATTATACAAGTTTACATTTTACAATACAAATGAATAAGAATATGAATAATATATTCTAATATTAAAATTCATGTAAAATTAAATTTTTTACAATTTATTTCATGTATGTTGTTGTTATTTTCAGTTGTTCTCTGGATGAAACATTGGATGAAGTTTTCAAGAAAATATTGTCCAAGATTATAGAAAAAATTGGATATTAGATACATCGCATTACTTACATCAGTGCTCTTCATTTAAATATATAAAAGAAGCAAAAGGTCTACTGCAAGGATACAAAAGGAAACTTCATGAAGATATAAATACCTAAGAACAATGTTTTACAGAAATTGTTTACTTTAATATGTCATCCCTGATTAGCTGTTGTTTAATATATTAGTAACATAATATATTTGTACTCGGTCATTATAATCTCTAAAATTACTTTATTGTGTTTTGATGCAGAAATTTGCCTTTAGATATAAAAATTATTATTTAATTAAATATTCTTATTGATTTAATTAATTTTTTTATTTAAGATACTTTTTATTATACATCGATAAAATTTTATTTAAAACAATTTTTTAATTGCAGAGAAAAGGAACCAAAAGAAATTTTCATGTAAACACTGTAAGAAGAATTTCACAACTAAACAACGTTTGCAAATTCATGAAATAATCCATACAGGTGAAAAACCTTACAAGTGTGACGAGTGTAAAAAGAAGTTTACACAAAGATCAAGCTTAATTACACACCTTCGGATCCATACTGGAGAAAAGCCTTACAGTTGTGACGAGTGTAAAAGGAAGTTTACACAAAGATCAATCTTAATTACACACCTTCGGATCCACACTGGAGAAAAGCCTTACAGTTGTGACGAGTGTAAGCAGAAGTTTACACAAAGGTCAAACTTAATTACACACCTTCGGATCCACACTGGAGAAAAGCCTTACAGTTGTGTTAAGTGTAAAAAGAAGTTTACAACTAAACAGAATTTACAAACTCATGAAAGAATCCATACAGGAGAAAAGTCGTACAGTTGTGACGAGTGTAAGCAGAAATTTACACAAAAGGAATGCTTAATTAAGCATCTTCGGACCCTACACAAACAAAAGCCACATTAATGTTAATTACATCCAGCGAAAATTATTTGAAATCATAAGTAAATTATAATATTCGCACTTTGAAATTTCGAAGGAATGTTATTTTAAATTTCTATTGATGTAGAATGATCGAAAGATGTAAGCAAAAGTGGTTTTAAAATAAAATGATGTTTTTCCAATTTTCGAAAAGTTTCATCTAAAAATCATTACAATATTCAAATTCAGACGTAATTCTTTTTAAATTTTATAATTATATTAAAAAAAGTAGCACTTCTGTCGATCTCGGTGTTTTTTAGCACATGCTTTTAAAACAAAATTTAATATTTTCGAATGTGCTGAAATTTTCTAATTGCAATTTTCTGTTTGAACGTACAGTACAAAACAGAGTTTATTTTGTAGAAATTTGTTCAAAACAGATTTCGTTATTAATGGATCACATTATTAACTTCATATGAATACCTGAATTGTTAATACATAATTACTGTTCTTATGTAAAACTTTCTTGAAAAAAAATTTATTGCCTCGACACTTGCCCGTATTAATTATAGGTAAAATTTATTAGAGCAGTAATTAAGACAGTGCACATTTTGCTCTAATTCATAATATGGGAAATTTTCATATATTCGAACTGTAGTATTTGTTCCGGCCACAGATATACAAATTGACATGTTAAGGAATTTGTTTAGATAGAAGTGCCTCCAAACCACAGTAAATTATAAATATATGTCGTTAGAAACATTTGAGCAATAGTAAATTCCTACCGTAATAAAATATTTTGAAAGAAAATCTTTACACATACATGACACTGATACCACGTGTTTTATATACAGTATCTATATATTATGAAACTTTATTAGCATGTTCAAAATTCCCTTCATTTTTTGACAGAAACGCTATCGTGTTTATAACCCATTCTTTACATCCGATATAAAAAAAATTATGCAATAAGTGAATTTAAATATGGGCTGCAATTTAAAAAAATTGTTAGACCAATAAATTCTTGCTCTCGTTTGCCTGCCTGTCTTTGTCTGTTCTATCTTAACCTCAAAAACTAGGCTGGATGGCCGCGCGGTCAAGGTGGCAGCCTACCGCCTTGGGGGACCCGGGATCAAATTCGGACGGGTCAAGAAATCCCCAGTAATTTTTTCGGGGGGTGATCCGTTCCGATATGTCGGGCCCCGTTTCTCACCACCTGGTTGCTCCATTGTGGGCCTGGCCAAACCCATAATGGGCCGGCTATAAGAGGCCCTCTTAGTGCCTACAGGGAGGAAAGAGTATTAAAAAAAAAAATACTGAAAGCATAGTGGCAGGAGGTCTTGATGAACTATATACGCACTTCCGCTTTAGACCAGAAGTCACGTTATTTCAATTCTATATTTTCCTTAGAAAACGAGTAAGATAACCTGGGGCCATATTCTGGTCACTTATCTCGTCTATTCTTTCAGAGATAGTGGTTCTTCGTCTATGTTGTTGACGACACAATTCTATTCGGTTGATTATAAATGTTCAGGTTATCTGCGGTATAGAGTTTTAACCAATGAAATTGTAAAATTTTCGAAAATGCAAAGTATGTAATTATAGACCACATGGCAAGGAAAGCACGTAATTTTGACGAAGTTGTTTTTTTTTGTTCTATAACATTTTTACAGATTGTAATGTCAATTTGTCTTTTAACAAATAAAAATTTTAATAAACTAAGTTAGAAAAGCATGCGGACTTACTTAAGGTGAGATTAGATGGTAATATTTCGAAAAATATTTAGAGATAGTTGAGATTAATTAATATCATATTCAATAATTCAGTAATTGATGTAGGATAATAATAATAAAAAAGGAATCAGTGAGATTTCCGAGTAGGCACTGGAGAAAACTCGGAAGCATTTTTTCTCTCAAAATATTCTTTCCCGAGATAGAGAACATTCTCTAATACGATTGTACAGCGCGAGTAGCATCCAGTCGTCCATATTGGATATAACGAAACTATCCTCCCGTCTCTGAGAGGGGAGAGAAAAAGTTGTCCAGAACCGCGTTTGGAAAGACCAGATGATCTCTCGAGAGGTAAACAAATCATTAGCCAATCAGTGACGTAAACACCGTCTCTCGTGTCTGAGAGACAATGGGCAGAATACGGTCCCTGCACGGCTACATTGCTAACAGAAACAGTATAATGTACTGTACAGTACATGGGCAAATTACTGGAAACGCTGAAGACGTTGAACACGTCTACTGACAAAACAACTGAGGCAATGACAGTGTTACAGTAACCATGAGGATAAAGGGAGGCAAAATGCCATTCCGTAGACAGAAAATCAATAACGGGGCTGTCTTTCTATATTACTAACAGAAACAGTATAATGTCTTTCTATATTACTCGTACCAGTGGCGTGTCGTCCTTGGAAGCGGTGGAAGCGCCGCTTTCCTTGTATTTTCTAAAATATAAATACATATTGAGCGATTATTTTCATATTTTAACGTATTTTGGATTAATTAAAATTAATATTTTATTATAACCACATTATGTATCTTATTACAAATTTCTANTTAGAAAAGCGTGCGGACTTACTTAAGGTGAAATTATATGGTAATATTTCGAAAAATATTTAGAGAGACAGATAAGATTATCATCATATTCAATAATTTAGTAATTGATGTAGGATAATAATAATAAAAAAGGAATCAGTGAGGTTTCCAAGTAGGCACTGGAAAAAACTCGGAAGCATTTTCTCTCTTGAAATATTCTTTCCAGAGATAGAGAACGTTAGTTCTCTAATACCATTATACAGCACGAATAGCATCCAGTCGTCCATACTGGATATAACGAAACTATCCTCGTCTCTGAGAGGCGAGAGAAAAAGTTGTCCAGAATTGCGTTTGGAAAGACCAGATGATCTCTCGAGAGGTAAACAAATGATTAGCCAATCAGTGACGCAAACACTGTCTCTCGTATCTGAGAGACAATAGCCAGAATATGGCCCCTGCACGACTACTTTGCTAAAAGAAACAGTATAATGTACTGTACAGTACATAGGCAAATTACTGGAAATGCCAAAGACGTTGAACACGTCTACTGACAAAAAAACTGAGGTAATGACAGTGTTACAGTAACCATGAGGATAAAGGGGGGCAAAACGCCATTCCGTACACAGAAAATCAATAACGGGGCTGTCTTTCTATATTATTCGTACCAGTGTCGTGCCATCCTTGGAAGCGGTGAAAGCGTCGCTTTCCATGTATTTTCTAAAATATAAATACATATTGAGCGATTATTTCTAAATTTTAACGTATTTTGGATTAATTAAAATTAATATTTTATTATAACCGCATTATGTATCGTGTTACAAATTTCTATACTACATGTGAAAAAAACGATAAGATTGCTATTGTATATTCGAATATCAGTGGTGGAATGGAAGCGCTGTATTGTCGAATACGGGACAACTTCCAAGCAGCCAGATTATACACATTCGCTTTACAGAGCACCAACCTCAGGCGGTTTAGCTGGTGGGAGCTACACACCAAAATATCGTATAACGCTTCCAATGATTCCATCCAGGACTGGTTCTGGGCTGTTAGCCACCTGCCTGCTAGGTATTTGGCCGTCCTTGGCCCATTATGTGAATCCCGAGTAGATTTATAACTTAATTAATCCAAACGATAAGAATTTACTGGTATGTTTTTATGATAGTTCTGTATAGTTGACAGGAGTTTTAAAAAAGTGGTGTGTGGCTGTGTCCGGGACATGGCCGAGTGTTTTACAATACGTGTACATTAACGGGTAATATTTTTACTTTCCCGGCACTGCTTCACCCTATCATATGGTGTTTTATGGGTATCACTGAATTGCTCTTGAGAAGCCCTTTCCAATCGTATACTATTTCTATATTTTCATTTGGCTTTTCGACGAGTATAGGCCAACATTGTATTAAGTTTTCTTAATTTTCAACCTTAACACCATATATATATTCACCATAACTATTCCACACTAATGTTTTGTGTACGCAATCGATAAATATTCATGAGAGCTGTAAATTGAAATTCAAACGAGTGTCATAGCTTCTCCGAGTCAAAATGTATACTAAATGGAAAGTATGTGACGTGGCAAAATAACCTCAAAATGACGGCGCTTTCCCCTCCGCCATGCACGATGCATCACAGTCCCCGTTCAACTTAATGAATTCTTTGATCCTTTAACTATCGAGTGGTGTAATTAAATTTTGGATGTAGATGATAGATATGTAATGCTGCAATGCCAAATATGAGATTTGTTTGTTAATAACATATTTTCAGTTTTGTTTACTAGAAAAATGGAAATTTGAATGGATTGCTGCCACCAAACCATCAATGCTATTATGATGTTCATTGAAGTCATCAATACATAGTAAATAAAACTAGGAAGATCATTTTGATAGGATGGGAGAAACCACTAGGGAATTAAAACTGCAGTCTGCTCTGTTGAGGGCCTAGTACTCACAAAATAAGAGGAATTAAAAAAACAAAAAAACAAAACAGACAGTCTAGCCCAACAATGAACGGCTAACTAACCAAATGCTTTGATGATTGTACATTTGTCAACTAGAAGTATTTACATGAAATGATTTATTGGGGTGCTCCTAATTGGTGGACGGCTAAGTAAACAATACAATGATTCAATTCTGGTACTTTTGAAACCGTGCTTGTAGTTATTAGTAGTTATTGTGTTTNTTACAAATTTCTATACATGTGAAAAAAACGATAAGATTGCTATTGTATATTCGAATATCAGTGGTGGAATGGAAACGCTGTATTGTCGAATATGGGACAACTTCCAAGCAGCCAGATTATACGCATTTGCTTTACAGAGCACCTCAGGCGGTTTAACTGGTGGAAGCTACACACCAAAATATCGTATAACGCTTCCAATGATTCTATCCAGGACTGGTTCTGGGCTGTTAGCCGCCTGCCTGCTAGATATTTGGCCGTCCTCACCCCATTATGTGAATCGCGAGATTTATAACTTAATCCAAACAATAAGAATTTACTGGTATGTTTTTATGATAGTTTTGTATAGTTGACAGGAATTTAAAAAAAGTGGTGTGTGGCTGTGTCGGGGACACGGCCGTGTGTTTTACAATACGTGTACATTAACGAGTAATATTTTTACTTTACTGGCCACCGCTTCACTCTATCATATGGTGTTTTATGGGTATCACTGAATTGCTCTTAAGAAGCCCTTTCCAACCGTATACTATTTCTATATTTTGATTTGGCTTTTCGACGAGTATAGGCCGACATTGTATTAAGTTTTCTTAATTTTCAACTTTAACACCATATATATATTCACGATAACTATTCCACACTGTTTTGTGTACGCAATCGATAAATATTCATGAGAGCTGTAAATTGAAATTCAAACGAGTGTCATAGCTTCTCAGAGTCAAAATGTATACTAAACGGAAAGTATGTGACGTGGTGAAACGACCTCAAAATGACGACGCTTCCCCCTCCGCCACGCACGATGCATCACAGTCCCCGCTCAACGTAATGAATTCTTTGATCCTTTAACTATCGCGTGGTGTAATTAAATTTTTGATGTAGATGATAGATATGTAGCTGCAATGCCAAATATGAGATTTGTTTGTTAATAACATATTTTCAGTTTTGTTTACTAGAAAAATGGAAATTTGAATGGATTGCTGCCACCAAACCATCAATGCTATTATGATGTTCATTGAAGTCATCAATACATAGTAAATAAAACTAGGAAGATCATTTTGATAGGATGGGAGAAACCACTAGGGAATTAAAACTGCAGTCTGCTCTGTTGAGGGCCTAGTACTCACAAAATAAGAGGAATTAAAAAAACAAAAAAACAAAACAGACAGTCTAGCCCAACAATGAACGGCTAACTAACCAAATGCTTTGATGATTGTACATTTGTCAACTAGAAGTATTTACATGAAATGATTTATTGGGGTGCTCCTAATTGGTGGACGGCTAAGTAAACAATACAATGATTCAATTCTGGTACTTTTGAAACCGTGCTTGTAGTTATTAGTAGTTATTGTGTTTGAATTACTACAATGATTCAACTGAAAATAAATACCATTGTAATTATGAATGCAAGATGCATAAGTATCAGCTTGCAATCAATTTGATGATCTTGATACAAAGACACATNGCTAACTAACCAAATGCTTTGATGATTGTACATTTGTCAACTAGAAGTATTTACTGTACAAGAAATGATTTATTGGGGTGCTCCTAATTGGTGGATGGCTAAGTAAACAATAGAATGATTCAACTGAAAATAAATACCATTGTAATTATGAATGCAAGATGCATAAGTATCAGCTTGCAATCAATTTGATGATCTTGATACAAAGACACATATCTAGGTTTTTATTAAATGAAATAATTATCATATAATTTAAAAATTTGTTTAATATGCATTAAAGATTAATACATCAATAACTTTGTTTACCTAAGAATTTTCTTTCCTTTCTTATGCTCGAAGTAATCCTTACCTTGTTATTACTAAAACAATGCTTTACAAATTGATTCTTGGATCCCCTTTTGACCTTTTCATATGAAATGTTAAAAGTATCATGAAAGTTTGACTGACTGTAAAATATGGATTTTCAGAATGGAGTCTGTCTGGATGGATACAAAATTATGAATAAAAGTGATCACATCATGTTCCCATTTAGTAAAAATTCTTTAAATCCGACTTCTTACCATTGGTCACTTAACAGAATTTGGAGGTCTGAAAACTGGCAACTGTTCTCAAAGGATGTCCCTCTGTCAGATTCTTCAATATCAGTTAGCAAAAATAATTACGAAAACATTTCGTGTTAAAATATCTAATTAAAATTAAATATCAGATTGTGGATACATAACAGAGAAAGAGTTGCTGTGTTCTGCTGCTGCTATTAAATTATATCTACTCCCCTGTTTGGTCTCATACTATCACCATTTACCATTTACAAACTTTGTATTGCATGCGGTATCATTTGAGGTAATGCCAGCAAAGTCCTATAGAAAAATAATGGTTTAATTACCAAAAATAAAAATGTTAATGAAATGTTTTACTGCCATTCCTGGCTTGTAAGTATAAAATTTGTATATCCTTAGGTTGCATGTTGTGACTAGGGATGGTTATCTCCCAACCTTTTTGGATTCTCAAGAATCAGGAATTCCAAAATGGGTAAAATTTTTTCCTCAATCTCAAGACTAAATTTACAAAAGACTTGGATTAATTGGAAGAAATTTATGAAACAAAATTTATTGTAATATATATTTCAATTTCTCAGATAAATGAATAGAAGGTAAGTAAATAAAAATATAAATTATTAGTTTTTAGTTGAGAATAAAACTAATAATTGGGGTTAACCAATAAAATAATGGAAGTTTTGTTTAAAAAAAACATTAGTATTACTGAATACAAAGCAATAGATTTTTTGATTAATTTTAAATGCAAAACAATTACATTAAATTAACATTAGCAACACTGAAGAGAGAATAATAATTAAAAGGTAATTATAGTACAGTTGTACTAAATCAAACTAATTGAGACCAATGACAGTTAGATTAATGGCAGTAAGATAGTAAGGATACAATGTTAACACTTTTTGCTTACAATAAAAAAGTGGCTTCATAGAGGTTGTTAGATTGTTGTATGGTACTATACATAATGTTGACAATGGTTTTTCTAATATGACCAAGGGCAGATCTGGGTTTTTCGGGGCCTAGGGCTTATTGAAGTCCAATGGGGCACCTTTTTTTTGTTAATATAACAATAATGATAATTTAATATTAATAATACAAATAATACTATAACTATTTTTTATNAATTTCCCATTATAATCACATTTTTTTTATTTTTCTGAAAAATATAGTAAAATAAATTAAATATTTGACCTGCAATTTGAAGTAATTAGACTTTGATCTGCCTTTGGAAAAAAGGTTTGCTGTTGCTAAATAAGAATTTAAACAGTTTGAATAATTTCCCAAATATAAATATTTTGTTCTACATAAGTTACATTTGATTCCATTTTAAAAGATGAGAATTTGATGAAAATGCTACAAAAAAATAAAATAACTCTAAAACTTTACTGAAGAGAAACCACACTTCTAAAGAAAATGCTATTAAAATTAGAAGTACTTTTGTTCAATAAAACTGCCTATTATTATTTAACATTGGTTTCAGGTATGTTATCTGTTTTTTAGAACCTGTTAAACTTGACTAAACGTTTCTTTTAATACTCCAAATAAGATGTCACTTGTTATCTTAAACCCTTATTTATTTAAATTAGATTTTTATAAGTAAAAAGATTAGTGATAATGCCTCATGATCAAGAAGTAAGTATATCTGCCTACCTCACTATGAGAGACCAGTTAAGATTGTTACATTGGCCCTTGCCACTCTGCCAAGTCTTGCTTGTAGGCCCGGTCGAAGCAAAAGTTTCAGCCCTAACGAAACTAAAAGGGCCTAGTGAAAGACAAATTCGGTGATGTAGGACATATAAAGTTAAATATTTGTTATTCATTTGGTGGTAAAATCATTAAACAGTTTTTTGTAGAGCACAGAATTTTAATCAATTGTATTTTTGTTGATATTAAATTAGTCAAGAATAACAATGAGCGGCAGAATGAATTGTTATTATATATAACTAAAAAACAGAAGCTTAGTATAAAAAAATATTTNAGCAGACCTCGAGTGAGGCCGAAAACGTTCGTTCATGAAGTTTAACGTTACCGGACATAAAGGCTCGTCAAATGTGTTTAAAATTACAAATCTTTTACCAAAATAGATACTCCTGTTCATATTTTAGCACCATCTCACCACCGTAATTTAATATAAATGTATTTTTACTTTGAATAATAATAGATCATACAATATTGTCTAAATTAAAAATACATTTATATCAAATTACTGTGGTGAAATGGTGCTAAAATATCAACAGGAGTATCTATTTCGGTAAAAATTTGTAATTTTAAATCTATAAGATTAATTGAAAAGTAAAATTACAGTAAAATATGATTTAGTTTCATAACAGGTAGATTAAAAACTGGTGTGTAATTGTGCAAATTTATTTTAAAATTTATAATGAAATCCACACTTGAAAGTGTTAACATTGTGCTCTGTTATTTACATATACACCAATTGTTCTGATTATTACTGAATTGGCTAAGTTAACAATGTAAGATGTAGTAGTCTGACAGCTCTAATCCCTCAACTAGGTTTTACAATAGGATTTGTAGTGGCAGATCTGGCTGCGATGTCAAATGGTGCTGTAAAGACAGTACCAGTCATTGCTGAAGTAGTGATTGGCTCTTCTAAGCCAATAGAAGCAGCTACTGCACAAATAGAGCAGGTTGTTAATCCTTGCCCACCTGTTTAGCAGCTTGAAGTTGTGCTTTACCTTTTGTGCCATGAAGTATTGTTCCTTCTGTTAACAGGTTTGCCAAAACGTCTCTTCTTTCTGAATCCAATATGCCAAAGCAGTGGTTAACAGTAAAAAACCTTTTCGTTTATAATTGTCGTTCAGTTTGTTGGGATAACTTATTTTACTGGCTCTTGCCAGTCTTTCTGTATGCCGATTCTACATTGATTCAATCATTTGAATCAGTACAATTCTCTGTGCCTGATTCCCAATGACTTCTGCTTTGACTAGCATTTTCACCAATAGAAAATCAAGAGACCATTTTGCAGCTAGTCTTGCTCATAACTCTATTATACAGTACATTGAACAGATTAGATGGGTCTTAATGGGTCTTCTGTGTCACGTTCTCAATGCTTGAAGTCTCTGTAATCAGATCAATTGCATTTGCAACTGCTTCAGTTGTGGCTTGCTCGCTGCATCAAAGAAAAGGTATAGAGTTACAATGCCAAAGCATGTCTGCCATTGGAGCTGCTCCAATCCAATTCCAAGGTAGTACTCACCAAGAATGGCACTTTTCTCTGTACAGATGATCCCATGGTAAGTGTTGCTTTTAGTAAAGAATCAAAGTCTGTTATAATATGGTCTGCACAACCAGGTAGGTTTTACTCATCATCATAGATATTTACACTATGTATGCAGTGAGTGTAAAAGCAGTGACCTAAAACTGTCACAAAAGTCTTAAAGACCCATGAATTTTGAATCTCAGATAGAAAGATTATCATCAAACAAACAACAGATTTCCCATGTAAGTTAATCAAACTCGAAGGTTGGATGTTATGCCAATATTTTTAATAAAATAAGAAAGTAATTTGTTCTAAATGGTTAATGCCATTAGCTTTTAATTTAAAAAGCTTGTTTGAAAGGTTTTATTTGTATCTGTATCTGCCTGAGGATGACACCTTTTAATACGTCAAAAGCACAAGCAGCAAAATAAAACACTCTCTAAATGTTTTTAACAACTTTTTGTGAAAGTTTCTCATTTTAGGAACAATTTCCCATTATAATCACATTTTTTTTATTTTTCTGAAAAATATAGTAAAATAAATTAAATATTTGACCTGCAATTTGAAGTAATTAGACTTTGATCTGCCTTTGGAAAAAAGGTTTGCTGTTGCTAAATAAGAATTTAAACAGTTTGAATAATTTCCCAAATATAAATATTTTGTTCTACATAAGTTACATTTGATTCCATTTTAAAAGATGAGAATTTGATGAAAATGCTACAAAAAAATAAAATAACTCTAAAACTTTACTGAAGAGAAACCACACTTCTAAAGAAAATGCTATTAAAATTAGAAGTACTTTTGTTCAATAAAACTGCCTATTATTATTTAACATTGGTTTCAGGTATGTTATCTGTTTTTTAGAACCAGTTAAACTTGACTAAACATGAAATGTCCTATATCTTGTATGTGTACCCAGAGCTTTGTGTGTCTAATTATATTGTAATGTGTATTGTATTGGAGACGTTGAAATGTAAAATATTAGTGAGTCCGCCAGATGGCGATCGTTGCTGATGCATCACGGGAATGGTACCTGAGCGCTCACTTTGGTTGTAACTACAAAACAATAAACATAACAGTAAATAGTAAATTGAATGCCAATTGTGGTTACAAGTCAATCTTTAGGTTCTAAAATCACTATTTGTATTTAGGATATTAAAATACAACAGTATTAAGCATAGTAAAGATACTAAATACTCCTGGATGTCTCACACAATTTTTTTAAAGTAAAAAGGTTAAAAAGTGTTCATTTAAAGATGGTATTGTTATTCTCAGTAATAAAATTTTTGTGCAAAAAAACCAAATGTATGCATCAACTAAATAGCAATACTTTTCTATAGGTGCTCTAGTTATGCACAAGAACGTACTGCAGACTTGCAGGATCTGTCTAAAAGACAAAAAAATATGCCAATTACAAGAATTTTATTGTTGCAAACTACCATTAAATGTAATTTTGGGTACTAATCCTTTCAGATTTGTTATTTCTATTGACTGCAGTCTCATAATATGATTGGATTGTTTCCTCTATGGCCTAGCCAGATCTTCTCGCTACATATACTGTCGTGTGATCTAGTTGAGGGATTAGAGCCACAGTACTCGTGCAAGTAAGACTAAACCTTAACAATCCACCAAATTATTCCAATTTGATACAGAAAAGAGTTTGTAAGAAAAATATGTGCACTGAAATTTTATATACATAATAAAAAGTAGTCAATTCAATTTCTATAATTTATAATAGAATGTGCCTCTTATAAATTCAATCCTATTCACTTGCACAATGAGATTTACGAGTGTACAGTTTACTCCTTATAAGTGGCCTGACCTGTAATTAAGGTAGGTTAGAGTGGATGAAGGATAGGGAACAATGCTCCATCCCAAAACACCCATAAAACATAAGATTTAGACTGAATTTGAACCCAGAATCTGCATAGCAATAGAATGTAAGACATTTCAACAGTCAGAAATCGAGTTCAAATCCATTCAGGCCATCTGGCCAAATATTGTTCAGTGATATTGGCATGAAACTTGTTTCATAAATTATACATTTTTTAGACTTAAATAAAAAAACAGAAGAATCACAAAATTGCTTTCCACAGTTTTATCTTTTGTACAATGATATTTGCATTCATAATTTTCCCATACATAATGATACATAGTTATTATTTATTATAAATATACAAAAATGCAATAACAAAGCATATATTACCACAGTTAAATTGATATTAAAATATTTTGTCATCAAACATATACCTTTTACAATACTTAAAAAAATTTCTGTACATAAAATTGATATTACAGTAGAACTCTGATTATCCAAATTGATTTGTTCTGCGTATGATTCGGATAAGTGGATTATCATGTAAAGAATGAAATTACAGGGTGGCAGCACAGTATTGTACATGTACTATATTTATTTGATCATTTGAATCTGCCACAGTAAACTTCAGTATTGTCACCATATTCCTTAATGTTGAAACATTATCTGCTCCCAGACCATGTTTATCAGCAACATAATTTTCATACATTGACAATGTTAACATTGTCTGTCATGGCAAGAACAAGACATTTTTGTTTCTGCAAGTTTGCAGACAAGATTGGAGTTGCATTCATGGGAACATCAGTGAGAGAGAGAAGAGGGCAAGTGGTGGTTCAGATAATCTGAGTTCTACCATATATATGCACAGTTAAGTAAATTTACAGCTTATATTTCAGCAAGTGAAGCTGTGGAGTTGGTATACAAAATTGTCAACTCCACCTTTTCAGTTTTTAAATATTTCCAAATTCAACCCTGCAACAGCTCAAAAGGTTATAGAACCATTATTAATATGTATTGTCTCAAGCTACCATTTAAAATTAATTTTCATTGCCACCACACAAATCATTACGCTAAGTTACCGCTTATTATCTGTAAGTTTACATTCAGATTGGAGTCAGTACATTTTTAATAATTCCAACTCCACCGTCTTGCTAATAAGTACCCTATGTATAATGAAAACTACATTTAACATAAAATTACTTCATAAAATGTGAGTAATTTAAAATCATATGTAAATTATGATAAATTATACTCAACTTCATTTAGAATAAAAACAAAATATAACAAACAGCAGTTACATTTATAGAATAATTCACATTCAGATAAAACTTGATAGAAACATGATAAACACAGCTTATAAACACCTAAAACATCTGTAAATAATCATAATGTGCTGTGTAATATTTAACAATGTGCACCATATAATACCTAACCCATCAGTGTGCTAAATAATACTATAAAGAAGTTAAATATCTCCTTAACACTCAGATTAACACCAGATTGCTGTGTGTGTGTTATGGCATTATTTATAAGATCGTGGGGTAGAAATATGTACAAGTTTGTCTAAGTATACGCTATAACATTCGCTTAACAATGCATTTCTCGGAATGTATTTCCATCGTTAAGCAGTGCACACACACATAGATATCAAATAGAATAAGTACTCAATTATATAGCAAAATATATTTTTATACAATTTCAGAATATTTTTATAAACATTTTGAGAAAAATAATCCATCAATAAATGGATTGATTGTCCAAATTTGAAGTTTTGATTTATGAAATCGAGTAAGGTTGGTTGTTTTAATTGGATACTTACTCAAGAATTATAACAAATAATGGATAAAATATGAAAATTAAAACTAAGAGAAATCACAATATCTAATACATTTTTTATAAAAAATGTTTTTTTATAAAAAATTTGTATTAAATAGGAATTTTGATAAGATTTACTATTCAATTTATTGAAACTACAATGAGACTAGATGTTTAAATAATGCAGTAACTCAAAATTAAAATTTCAGATCAAAAAATGGACTTCTAACAGAAAATAACTGTTTTTCTCAACAAGTATTCTTCAATACAAAACACTTTGCCAAATATACTTAATTGCACTTTGAAAATTTAATAAAAATTACAGTAAAAAATAATGTATAAATAAATAGTAGGCCCATATAAAGAGATACAAGACAGTCCAAAAGTCAATTAACCAAGGCATATAGTAAGATTATTTAAGACTGATTAAACAAGATGAGACTTTCTGACCATCTGGCATAGAGACTGCCAAAATTTAAAGCTACTTATTTATTTTACTTGTACATTTTTATGACTTGGAGAAGAGCGAACCACTAATCTGGATGTCGAGTCTTCAGTTATGTAAGTAACATGAATGTGTCGAGAATGTCACGTGGTACTAATTCATTCACCGAACGAGTTCGTGACAAGTGACACTCTCGACACGTTTGTGCTGTTCCTCACGTAACTGGAGATCAGGCACCCTGGTCCAGCTCCATCTTGTATCCTAAATTGAAAAACAAAATTAATGAAATGAGTTGTGAATAAATTTGACTAGAAAACTTAGTAAAAGTAAAAATTGTAATACTGACTTTTGATGCAAATTCTGCACATTTTATGAAAAAATTCTATTTTCAATTCTGTCATTTAATGAAGTAATAACAGCAGATCATGAGATTCAATAATGAAATACAAGATTTTATGTAATTCAAAGAAATGCAGCAAATTCCAAAATAATCTATCTTACAAAGTGCACATTAGAAACCAAGCCCAAATTACTAATGAAATAAGAGGGATTCTTTATCTAGCTACATTTTGGCTAATTATATATACAAAATGCTACATAGTTTTGATTAAAGGTAGGTGATTAAGCCAGAAGAAGAGATTGGTTGAGAGCGCGATTCAAACCAACAAACGAAGAAACAAATCCTCACCGTACAATAACAGTTTGTTCGGAAATGCTAATATTCAGTTTGAATTATGTCCAGTCTCATCCATTAGCATTTCCAACAAGCCCTAAGCAGGAGTTGGGGGTTTGAATCCTACTCCGGATTGATCTTCCAGAATATTCTAAATTAATTAAATTTACATATTGTGACATTGTCACAATTCTCTATTGCAATTTTTAATGATGTTTTAATTTAAATTAGAAGAATAAATCCTATACAATATTTATTGTTCTATATAGTAAAACAAAAGTTTTTGAATTGATATTGTGTGACTGCTGGTCCAAACCAGAAGTTCATATATAGTCTGGGCCTCTGGTCCCTAAGCTTTCTGTAACTAGTCTCGATTTTCATCTATTTAATTCTGTTCGAGATTAATGAAGGACAGACAAACAACAGTGGGAATTTATAGTCTGCAATTTGAAAATTGTAGCCCAATTATTAAATGTAATAGAGGATGGCAACTTAATTGTTTACCTTTAGTTTTTACTATGTAGCATTTGCCTATTTAATTAGCCAAAATGTATAGAGATAATGAACCCAGCTTATTTGATTATAAGATGCATTTTATATTGTTTTGTCGATAAAAGTGATCGAAAAAGTTAAGTATTAAAATCAATAGCACTTTACAAAAGACTAAATAAAATGCCAAAATAATTACTAGAACATTGACAGTTACAAATCTAAAACTGTCTAAGTTCTGGAATTCTAAAACTATCATAAGTAAGAAACAGATAGACACAAAAACATTCATTCAATCATAAAGACACGTTTGCTATTACCATAAAGCTGCATTACATTGACTTTTAACAAATAAAAACATCCTGACTTTAAATTAAAGAGTATCGAGTTAATACATTGATTAACTTGAGAAAATCGGTTTATTCTCAAATTTTTCTGTAACTGTAAATCTCCCGTTATTAAGTTATTTCTCAAGAATCTGTTCACAGATTGATTACAAAACTGTACATAGTTTATGCTGCTTTTGAGTACTTTGTGTAGAACACCAATAATATACTACATCAGTAAAAGGATGCTGATACAAGGTTGTAATGGCATGGTGTTATGTTTAGCATGGAATCATAGTGTTTGTTTATCCTAATCATCTGTATTTGTACATAATATAAGAGAAAATGATCATGGACCTACAAAAGGTGGAAGATACACAGGGAAAATAGGCTCAAGTATAATAATAAATAAAGTAAACACATTGTCAGATGGCATTAAAATTCTTTTATTTTAACACTGTCTGACAGCATTTACTTTATTATTATATGCAACATTTAGCATAGAGTTTAACATAACTCAAACCTAGACAAAGAGTATAAGTAACAGTAATTTTAACTCAGATTTATTGTATATAAACACTTGAAGGTTTAAACAACCCATATTGGGTTCTTTAGAACTTCAAGTGTTTATATACAATAATTCATACTGCATACTTCAAGTTAATAATTCAAACTGCATACTTCAAGTTAATGCAGTTTGACTTAGCAAAGTTTACTGTATCAAAAATGATCAAATTTAAAACTATTTACTTTCCTTTTGTGAGCCCCTAAAAGGTCTCACATCCATCATACAAGACTCATAATGGCTGGCTTGTGATGAGGCAAAGGGATCAATATCTCCAAATCCATATAACCAGGATCAAAAGAGGATACCTCAAAATGAAATGCTAGAGGAATCAGCTAAATATCCAGCCATCAAGGTTTTCGATATTAAAAAACAAACACTCAAAGAACATCAGTTTTAAATGATAATATAATGATTCATTTTCCAATGAATAATCTTTCTGATTCATTCAAAAACCTTATTCAATACTATTGATATGATATGTATTATAAAATATTATATAAAGCCATTATATATATATATATATTAAAAATCATGATGGTTTAGATTGGATTTACATCCAACCTGTACTACATACCTGCCGACACTAACTGATATCGTATGATATAACCAATGACACTATTGAAGTTTAATATTAATACATTAAAACTGTCCAGTAATAACAAATTTATAGGAACTGATTAACAACCCATAACAGCCGTGAAGATAAATTTTTAAAAATGGTATTTTTCAATATTTCATCAAAATTTAGAATTTTCAAAGCTATACAAAAATTTTTTATTATTAAAATAGTCCAATCATTTTCACATTTGATAAAATAAAATTAAAAGTTCTGACATTTAAAAGTTATTTAAATAAATAATTTCATAATTCATTCTCCTGTAGTGTAAATACATTATTGTTAACCTTTAGTTTTATAAACCAGTGGACCAAATCTACTTGTTCCAAGATATTTGTCAGAATAGAAGCATGGCACTAAGGAACACTGGACCACAAATGTTAGCATGCAGAATATCCAACAGACAATACATCAGTACTATTATTTATGTTCTTGTTTGGAAATGTAGCCGATGGCATGTTATCCTATGGGCAAAAAGGACAGTTGCCTGGAGCCCCAAATCAATCTTTTATAAACTCATTACTGTAGTAAGAATGTCAAAGTTTAATTTGGCATCATATTGGGGGATCCTAGATTGCCAATGCAGAGCAGAATTTAAACCCTTCAGAGTTTGCTAAAAAAAATTAACAATGATACCTGGGGATACCCCAAAAATTTCAAAAATAAATTAATATATGCTAAAAAATATAAAAATCATTAGATAAAATTTCAATATTTTGTAAAATAAACACTGGCCTATTAAATTTTCAACAACACTTGATAGACAATTGTACAAATAGTCCAATAAACTGGATTCAAGTATTAAAAGACACAGAACAAGTCATAGTTGCCAAAAGCAACTGTAAACATTTATTGTTTTTCTGGATTTTTTCTTATTCTGTGTCTTTTGATAGACAAACATTTAAATGATGTCAACACAACATATGACTGCATTAGCACTTAAAAATAAATATAATTACCACATTAGCTTTCTGAATGCCATGGAGTATGATCAATTTTTCTACTAAATGCTTTTTGGTGCTTCTCGTCCTTTGTCAGATTCCAAATCTCACAAAATAGGTTCCGAATTCCTGTTAAATGTTAAATTGTATTCGAATGCTTCTTCTAAAACTTACATTCAATCATCGGAAATGTTTTCAAAAACATTCCTGATATTTTTGAAAGTCGCATAAAAAGTGCTATAAAAGATTAAGAATGCCAATGTTCAAATTTAAATTTTAGAATATGAATTTGTATATGATGTAACACTTGATAAGTATTCATGTGTATTTTAAAAGATTTGGACTCTGATGATGGACATTAAGCATCCAAAAGCAATTGTACTCTGTACTCATGATAAACAGAAAGTTAATGTAGTAATTTGACAACATGGAGTGCAATGATAATTAAAACATTATATTAATGGAGTGCAATGAATGTTATCATGAAATCTTATAGCATTTAACAAAATAGCTATAAAGATATACAATACATATACACATACACACAACTAAGTACATTTTTTATAGTAGTAGTAATAAATTATACCTAAACATTTTCAAATTTATCTTTGTATTCATAAACAATCATTTAAAGACACATTTACTCTATCTGAATGAACTGATGAATAAAAATTTAGTTTTCCTTCATCACATAAACTAACCATTTGATTATTTGTCATTTGGTTTGGATCTAAGTTACTTCAAGCCGGTATATTGAAGCAAATTCATGCATTCTAGATAGAATTTTTATTCATCCATTCATTAGATCCAAGTTTAGGCATTATTAACATAATAAATGGCAAATTTTGCAAGTTATTTATTATTTTGGATAGCATAAACACAACTTCATACTTAACCATTTTAAAAAATAGCAATTTGAGAAATTACAAGCCAATTACTTTGTTTCTGTAAAACTCGAATTCTAATACACTGAATTGGTATATGTTGATGCATTAAAGAATTAATTTCGGCTTTCCCATTTTTAAAACTTCCGACCATTGTATAATTACTACAAAGTGGTTTATTACTAGATTCCATTTTTATAAAATGCAAACCGACTTCTACCACTCCGTGGAGTAAAATATCTTTGTTATGGTCTTTCGAACCAGTTTCTATATAAATATGCTCTATCAGAGATGGTTTGTGAAAAATGACGTCAAAAGTATCATTTATCTTCGGAGACTGCCCCCAGAAATAGCCAAAACCAGAATTATATGCTAATTCTGGATAAAAATTATCATAAGTTGTAATTGTCGTAATGATATCGGCACTTGGGTTATTCGCTTCAAATTTATTAGCAACACCCGTAAAGGTTTTATCTTTTAATTTCTGAATCTTACCATCTAAAGATGAACGTAGACCAATGTGCTGAAATAGACTGGGTATTCTTCTGATGATTGTTCTTTGTGAAGGCACTAGGAGATCGATAAACTGTAATATAAGTAAGTCAATAGGTTTTTCTGAATAAAAAAGCATCAAAAATGAAACCAGACGTGGTAAATCTGAAGATTTTAAGAGTCTTCCAATAATTAAAAATCCAGTAAAGGTCAATGATACCCAACTTTCCTGCTGAAAATCTATAAATTCGCGGACAGCTGTTATGAAATGAGGAGCGCAAAGTACATCGTCTTCAAGGATGAGAAAATAATCAGATAAATAGACTGAATAGTTAAACAGTAGAGCAAAATCTATAACCTGTTTGGAACGCCAATGAACTCTTTCCATCGAATCATTGTATGTTTGGTGTAAAGTAATAAATGGTGGATAAATTGACGGCGTTGTTTCAATTATATGTAAAAGTCCAGACTTAATGTGATCTTCGAAGGCACTCTTAATCTCTCTTATTCGGCCATGACGATCAACAGAATTTACGTCAGCCACTAACACGACAATTGTAATATTTTGCAATTCTTCCCGCGAGCTTCCTTTAATTATCGACTGCAAAGTTTGAAATAAATAATTATCTGTTTTACGCTTTACACTTGGTATACCGATTGTTAAGTACGTTTTTCTTTGATTATCTTCTGCACTGAGACTTGGTGTAATATCTTTACGATGACTAGATAATAAAAATCTCGGCTGTAAAAAATAAAATTATATTAATTGCTGATGCGTAAATTTATAAAAAAAAACCAAACACTTGAATGATAATGTTATACATAATATAGTTTCTAAATAACATGCAATTCTTTCTAGTTATCTAAGGAACTATGTTCTAGTTAGCCTAGTCTAGCAGATCTGGACAACATATAATACGATGTGATCCATTTTCACAAGGCAAAAGTACTGATGATCTACTAGCACATTGTTTATTCCTTCGTAAAGGTGATGAAATTATCCAAGAAATGTCAGTAATTTTGGTCTGAGAGTCCAAAGGTGAACCTAGATATGACTATCCACAAAGAGAAAATAACACTTTCTCATGTCTCTTGTTCAGTGTATGTATGTTCACTGTGCTACAATCAGAAACAAAGACCACCACACATTCTCATAGAGTATAATGGTAGTTAAAAAATTTCTTTCTTGGAAAATATGGAAGTATGGAAACCACAAATACTTTTATATTATAACTGGCTGTGTGATATCTGTGATCGATCCAAAATGATGCTGCAATCAATTGGTCAATCAAAATAAATTTATTGGCATGCCTGATCTTGAGAATAAAATGCAATTATTTAACACATTCCTAAAAATATGACCAACAATTGAACAATATAGTTACATGTTATAAAGAAAATTCTGTTCCCAGAATACTAAAACAAAAAATTATAAAACCTAATAAAGTAAGAAAGTTTTACCTTACTTGCAGTGAATTATAATCAATGAATAAAATGTTAAATTCATAGATAAACCAGACAACAAAAAGTAATCTTTTCTCAAATAATTTTGCTGATGCCGAAAACAAACAAAACTGGCAGAAAGTGTCACCTTACAAGAATTTTTTAAAATATATTTGTAGCCAATAAACAAAGATTTCAAAGTCCAAATTCAATGTGTAAATAGCAGTTAAGGATATAACGTATTACATACAGAAGAGTAAGTCATCTGAAAGTCAAATGTCAAAGGGCAAAAACTTCCTGTGTACGAAATATTTATTTTATCATTATATTGATAAACAATGTGAAAGATATTTCCATCTGAGATTTAGATAGAGATGACTAGCTACAAAAGTATGAAAAGAATAAGATAGATGCACACTAAACTTAAGTTAATAATATAATAAAAAAATGTACAGGGTGATCATATTAAATAGTAGAGGTTCACGGCTTATTTTAGAAACCATTGGACAAATCTCAATGAAATTTGATATATATAATGTCCTGAGTATGCAGTTTTGTTCTGAAGAAAAAATTTACTTCAAAATTCAGACATTAGGGCAAAACTTGGCACTGCATTCCCCTTAAGGGGCAGATTATGTACACTTTGTAATCAAGTTTGAGTATAGAAGGAATTGCAAAACAATCTTCATAATTCTTCAACTGGTGAACAATCATGGTGCTCACTTTAACTGATTTTGTGTTACTTGTTAAACTCTTACTAAATGGTTTAAAGAAAGGTCCTCTGACTATTGGGAATCTCAGGAAATTGATTTTGGGTTTTGAGAAGACCACAACTTTCACTGTGAAACCAGGATGGGGCCACAAACTGATCTGAAAACAGATGTCTGAAAGCAAAGAACAGGAAAAATCTCCAAGCAGCCATAATATACCTGCAACATCACAGCGATCAGACATGCCCTACATTTCAGTATGGAGATTTCTGCCAAAAAAATCTTGCACTTTTATCCATATAAAGATATCACACAGTCAAGAATTGATTTCTGGTGATAAGTGGAAAACATTTGACATGACATTCATAGCTAAGTTGATAACTGATGATAAATGGCCCTGGCGAATTTTGTAGAGCAATGAAGCTCATTTTTATTTCTATGGTGATGTGAACATTCATAATTGCCATATTTGGTCTGATAAAAATCCACAATTCACCAACAAATTCCATTGCATAAACTGTCACTACAGGTGTGGCATAATATGATGTGGTTTCACAGCATCCCTTTTCATTAGTCCTTTCTGAAAAAAACTTTGCATTTGGACCAGTGACATGTTTTATTAATGCCATTTGATATTTGTCTTCTTGTAAACATCTTTGATATAATAGAATTTACAACAGATCTTTGAGGATGGCGATAATCTGTTGTACACAGCATTTGTTTTTAATGATACTCTTCTCATAGATTTTGATAGAATACATCATCAAAAATCTTCCAAATAATGAATCACATTTAATATAATTTATTTTTCTACATAATTGTAAAACTTTAAATATAACTGGCTTATTTAATATAACCATTTAAACTTTTAAAATCATGTACAATTTTGTATGAAATGACTACATAAGTGATGGAAATATCCATGCAACTGCAGATGATAAATATTACTTGTGCATTACTTTAATTAACATTGGATACATGTTAATTTGCTTTAACTTTTATCTTAATTACCATAGTTAAAATAAAAAGAAATATTCAAACTAATTTCTTACCTGTGTAGAAAGGGAACATGTATATATAGTTTCTCTGATCATTTCTTCACAGGATAAAACAGATTTTGGATTCTTATAACAGTTTGCATTTGCTTTATTAAAACCTTTAAAATAAATGATTTTATTAATAAGAGAACAAAATTATATATCCATTTCTGTATATAGAATAATTATTATTTACAAATCAAAAAATTTTCAATGTGATAAAACACATAAATAAATATATATTACAAAATTTCTTTTCATCATAAAGAATCTAAAGATTATATTTAATTATTTTTAAAAATACAGTTTAAACAAAAATAATGTTACTAAGTTTTGGCTCTGGATGACTTGGCTCATACACTAGTGATGTTGGAGTAATCTTACAGAATTAGGTAGAGAGAGGTTTATTATGACAACAGTATGCATTTTAGACAGGTTGTCTCTTACTCTTTAGCCGTATTTGTTACAATTTGTTTGGTTTATAGGTACTCATTTATGATACAGTAGCACCCAAATTGAAATCAATCATTTTCTGAAACACATCTAGATCTAAATATAAAATCTAAATTAGAACTAAAATTATGAATTTTAATCACTGGATTAAATAGAATTAAAATTAATAGACACTAAAAAATGCAACATTAAAAAGGTTATATGTTACAACTCAGAGACCCCTTTATACATAGAGAAAAACACATTCAACTTGTTTATCAGTAAAATTAAAAATAGAGCTATATACATAATAGATCAAAATTCCAAAATAAATGAAATTATCAAACTATTTTTGTTAAATAATTACTGCAAAACTACCTTATTAAAATGGATAAATAGATTAGATAATAAAACACCAAACATAGTCCAAAACATTAGTTCACCAGCAAAATCCTGTAAAGTTCCATATGTCAAAAACATTTTCAAAAAGATTCAAACAATTTAATGTATGTATTGTACGAGTCCATACCAACACAATCCAAAAAAGATTAAGCAACAATAATACTATTATCAACATTTCGGAAAAAAAACAAAGTTATTTATAAGTTTTCCTGTAGTTGTAACTATGCTTATGTTAATGAAACCAAAAGAAAATTAAAAATATACTTTAAAGAACACATCAATGCTATTAAATACAACCTGAAAAACTCCACTGTCGCTAAATGCTATGTATTCCATATAATATTAATAAAAATTCACTAAAAGTATTAAAAACTGAAAGAAATATTATCAAATGCAAATTATACAAACATTTAGAAATTATCAAAATCCATGATAACATAATAAACAAAAACACAGGTACAACCAGCACTTTTTTTGTCATAGAATGCAATGGAACGGCATTCCATCACTTTTTTCGACATATTTTAAAAGTTTTAACAGAATTTTTGAAAATTTGATGTTTGGTCTGCATTGAATTGCTCTGTTGAGCATAGAATCGGCAACAAAATTATTAAGACAGTCCTGCTCCTGCTTGTGTGCCGAATCTTGTGTACGATGCATGTAATATATTTTTAGTAATGAGATGAGCATTCCACCACTTTTTTCCCCCCCAAAAAAGCACTGGGAAAACTAAGGTGCATTGCAAAAGTTTAGGTCCACTCCATTCAGCTAAACAAACACAACACAAACACATCTAAAGAAACCAACACATACATTTACTGCATTTGTGTAGGTAGAAGAAACATGTAAAAATAATATGACATCATTAATTAAACTAGCATATTCTTAGATGACTGTAAATGTATAAACACACAAAGTGAGATAATGCATGTGTTGCAAAAGTTTAGTTCCACAATATCCCCAGGAGAAATAATGATATGAACGTGCAAGTTAAATGTTACAAACTATTTCATGCATGTTAAGAGTGAAATTGTCATACTGCTGCAACTTTGAGTTGTGTGATTTGCTTGATATAACATTTATGGAAACATGGGTCATGGCAAGGTGTTATCTGTCTGTGATAGGAGCAAGATTGATGCATTAAAGCAGCAAGGGCTGTCCAACAGGGCCATAGCAAAAAGGATTAATTGGTCACATAACATTGTAAACAATTATGTATGTAACCAAGAGGATTACAACCAAAATTCCCGTTCAGGACATCCACAGGCACTTAGTGAAATTCAACTTTGATGGGTTGTAAACACCATGAAACAATCAGGATCATCACTCAGACAGTTGGCACTTGATTCAATGGTTAATATTCATAAGTCAACCCTATCAAGAGCTGTAAAGCACAACAGACAACTGCTATACAAGAAGAAACATCAGCCCAAATTAACACCAGCTCATAAGATAGCACAGGTAAAATGCGCTAGAGAACATTCAAGTTGGAGTACAGAATGGAGATGAGTAGTATTCAGCGATGAAAAAAAATTTAATTTAGATGGCCCTGATGGCTGGTGCTATTATTGGCATGACATTGAAGATTTTTTCCAAACACCAAATGGGAAGAGGATCACTAATGGTCTGGTTTGGGTTCAAATACAACAGGAAGACTAGCATTGCATTTCCAAGTAGCATATGAAAGCCAGAAACTACCAGAAACTGTTGGATATGCACCTCATGGCATTTGGAGGACCATTCTGGATATTCCAACAGGACAATGCACTAATCCATGTAGCACACACTATATGGAAATGGTTCTTAGACAATGATGTGCATGTAATGGATTGGCCTGCTAATTTCCTTGACCTTAAACCCATGAAGAACCACTGGTGAATCCTTGTTAGGAAGGTGTACACCTTTAATACATCTTTAAAAAGAGAGTTAGAGAGCTGTCCGTCTTTTAAGCGACGGACTTAGCCCTTGGAAGTAGGAAAGAAGAGAAAGCATGAGGTTTGAAGTGTGAAAAGAAAGGAAGATAGGAAAGGAAGGTATACACCAACGAAAACCAGTTTTCAACTGTTGCAGAAGTGCAGACAGCCTATAGAAGTGCAGTCCTCTGTATGGGACTAGATAAGTCAAAATGTGCTCCAGTGACTTGTAGACAGCATACCTCATTGTCTTTTTGACATTAGGATGCAAAAAAGGGGTTTCTGGAATGATAATGTGTAATTTTGCACAGTGGAACTAAACTTTTGCAACACATGGTTTATCTCACTTTGTATGTTTATACATTTACAGTTGTCTAATAATAAGCTCGTTTAATGGTGACGTATTATTTTTACATGTTTCTGCTACATACACAAAGAAATGTGTGTTGGTTTCTTCAGATGTGTTTGTGTTGTGTTTGCTTAACTGCATGGAGTGGACCTAAACTTTACAATGCACCTTAGATCCCATCTGGCACCCTTACTTAAACATCTGAAACCTATTAGTCAGAGATAATACTTATATCACCAATAATAGATACCACCCTATAGTAGCCTCGCTTCTGTAGTAGAGAACATTGTTTCTATGAGCTCACTGACTGCAAAAATGTATGTAACATTTCTTAAAACAGCTCTTGGCTTTTGTAACTATAATCTTGTTTATAACTTTGTATATTTGTATACCATAGTATTTAATTTTATTAAGTAACATTTTTAATCTCTGGTTGCCATTTGTATGGAAACATATTATAACCTCTGTGAAAAGTCCCAAAAATAAAGTCATCCATGCATCAGCAACAAAATAGAATGTAGCTTTTAAGTATGTTTAAAATGTAATTTTGAACTATTTTAATCATAAACCCAAATGTTTGTGACGAAAAACCACTTTTATTTTTGTAGACGCCTGTAAACCCAACAAACTGTAACAAATTCGGCTAAAGAGGGACAGACAAACTGTCCAAAATGCATAACATTGTCATAATAAACCAGTGTCTACCTACTTCTGTGTGATTACCCAGATGTAAATAGTAAGTGATAAGTCCTCCATAGAGCCAAAACTTAATGCTCATAGTTTCATATTGTAACAAGGACAAAAAGCAATTCATCAAAAATAATGTTATTTAAATTTCTAATAAATGATGTTGAATCACATAATATTAAATCATTTCAAATATAATATCTGGCCCTTTCACACAAGAGAGCAGCAGGACCATTTGTGTTGGATCTGATATTTACAGGGCTTCAAAATTGCAATTTGTGTGTATTAAGAAAAAAAAACTTTATTGTTTTGTCAAATTTTATTATTTAAAAAATATATTTTTTAAATACAGTTTTGTGATTTTAATTTATTAGAGAATCAAACAGGAAATTATTTCAGGCTCTCTTGAATTCTAAGAGATCCTGTTTATAAGATATGATAAAAATATATGGTAGATTTTGATCAGTAATATGATTAAGTGTTATCCACCTATTTTCAAGCATTTCAATTCTATTTTTTCAAAATGCTTGCATCTTATATTCAAAAAGTGAATGTATACATACTTTTTATGCCATTAAAAATTTCTTATTTTTCATCAAGAGTGTTTTATAGACTTCTAAGAAAAAGTTGTCTTACTTTGATCCACCAAATTTTTAAGTATGCAGTGTGTAGAAGCAATTAAACTCTTTAATTTTACAGAAATTATTCTTGCAAAAAGATAAATACTTTTTGATAAATTACAAGTGTGATATTTTTTAAAGCAAGGATCAAACAAAAACTGTTCAAAATATATTTTCTGATATACATTCCATTAGAATTCAGTAATTCAAAATGTTTAATTCTAACATTCATAAAAATCCAAATCAATACTAAATGTGAGGTCCTGGAAATAGCCTATAAGTCTGAAATCATAGACTATAGTATAAGATTATAAATTATGATTATTTCATTTCATACAATGGCTAGCAAAAAGTCTTGATCTTATTGTTAGATCAGAATTTAGTCATGATTTTGACAAGGACAAAGTGCAAAACAGAAATTGAGCCAACCATCTCCAAAATCATTTAATGGCATTAATTTATGCTTTAAAGAGATTTCAAAGAACAAAATCCCATAGGAAAAGATTAAATATTATCTATACATCATCAATGCTTATAGTATCTCACTCTGCCTAGTGGATACCTTATCTACATTTGCATACAAATCTTAATGAATAAATTAAACACATTCTACAACTATAAGCTGTTTTAAATATTTTGAATAAATTTCCAAATCTTATGATACCCTGTAATGTTTACAGGACTGTTCACAAATTAGGTAATGCAGATATTAGTGGGTAAGTATGCAGGTAATTATTATGTTACATTACAAGAATGTGAGGGTGTTTACAAAAATGTTACCCATGGGTTGAGACTATCATTATGTAAAAGAATTATTCATATGGTGAACCGTACTGTTTAAGTCATTGCTTTGTAAATTATATGTGTAATTAATAAAATCACGTAACATGCAGTATCTCATGCTTTGTATTATCCCTTAGTACAATTAAAGGGATATGCATTATGTAATTTTGGGAATGAGTTTGCTTGGCAGCATTATTGAACATTACAGGGGGTGAATGGTAATTGAAAGATATAAAAATAGGTACAATAACACCTCTGAATGAGACAGTTGGGACCTTATCAGAGCTGTAGACCATACTTCAACACCATACTTCTAGGATAATTTCAAAGGAATACTTCAAAGAAATTTCAAAGGAATCATACTTCTACACATAACCCTTCACAATTCAGTCTACTTCCAGTACTCATGCAATTGGGAGTCACATTTAACTATTTAGCCCAAGTGAATATGCTGGCTTTGAATAGCCCACTTGACCATTCTCGGAGTACTTGATTTTATATAGTTTTATGGGGTGTGAGGCTCACCCCTACACGAATGCTGAGGTGCAAGCAACAGCAAGCACTGATGCGGAGGAGGGAGATTAGGCAGCAGTACCAGTTCACAGTAAAAACTGACCTTTGGAGAAGAATATCTTGCCAAGGGTTGCACATATAGGTATTCACTTGACTTTTCTGCCAGTACAAGGAAGTTTACAACTCTGGGGATGAAAAATCATTCATTCAGAGAGTAAAATGAAGTAACTTTTAGTTCATTTACCCATGTAATTGTATATAATCGAAGTAACTAAAAGTAACTTCTACAGAAAAAACAATATTTACAACATATTTACCTTCTGGTAAGAATGTGTATTTAGTCCAAAACCAATTCGACAAGATTAAAAAGCAACTACCAATTAATAAACTGTACAAAATTGCTCTTCTCATGATGCTACTTTGACACGTGAAGACTCCCCATTAATATTTATATTTCTCTAGAGACAAAAAAACAATATTTAATTTATCAATTCATGCTTTATTTATAAATATATTTTTTAAAAAACTACCTGATCACATGCATTGTTACTGAAAACAATGCTAAAATACGACATAAAAGACGTCACAACAACATCCATTGATACGGCATGACCGGATATGAAACAGGAAGTAGAATTCCGAATATTAAGATTTAATTTTTCATTATATTATTGTAATAGTATTTTTATATCATAATTTTTAATTTAAAATATTAATAAATACTATTCCTGATAAATAAATAATTAAAAAATATATATATAATAATAAAAATTTAAGTCTGTTTCTATCATCATGGCGGAGTTAGTCGATTTAGGAAAAAATTGTTCTTTCGCATCTTGTAATAAATTAGGTATATTATTTCCTAATTTATATTTCTAATTAATAATTTAATAACTTTTTATTTTATAATTAATTTTATAATTTTATTTATATGTCAATTTCATTCATAATAAATGTACTGTAAAGTCACGTGTTATTGTTCTGTTGTCAGTTTCAAAATAAAAGTAGAGATGGGGAAATTTCGGATTATTTTGTAATAAAAATAAACTTTTAAATAATCATATTTATCTACAATGAATTATATAATTTAAAATATTTTATGGAATTAAACAAGGAATATTTTTTTATTTTTGACACTGATCTGAGGGCACTAAGAGGGCCTTCTACAGCCATGATGTTGGCCAGATAATGGGGGATGGAACCCCAATATATTCAAGAACAGACTAATCATGAAAAACTAATCATACAGATTGGTTACATGAGACTACTGTTTCCTAGGAAAAATCTCATTGGGTATGGAGTCAATCCGTTCAAAAGTTAAGATATCATACATGGATCCAATATGGTGTGGCATTCTCAAAAATCCAAACTTTACAATACTAATTTCTAATATGAAAGATTCTCAACCCTTATACGCAACCAAACAAATCAAAAGGACTATAGTCCAAAACATAACCGTCAAAAGATATCTTTCCCCAAAGTTACAATGTGACAGTTGATCAAGAAATGGAAAGGAGCGTACAGAAAATGTCTAACCTCATTCTGTTGATGCATCATTAATTTATTAGAATAATTTGTTGCATTTTAAGATTAATGAATTTCCTATCATGATATACTAGCCACTGTGATAGCTTAGATGGAATAATTAATACACCTTTAACAGTGAAATTTTTAGAAGAATGCTAATTAAAATTAAATGCTGGTTAATGGTATTTATATTAAAACCCAAAAAGTACGTATTGAAGTTACAAAATTGTCTTAACTTTTTTTGTATTTTAATGCAAATACTGTTCGTCAATTTTTAATTGTAATCAACAATTGTAGTTCATTATGGTATCAGCATTGTTTCGAGTGGACATTTTTATCCATTTTACATTTTTATGATGGAGTCGCAACCTCAAATGAAAGGTCGTCTCCCTAAGTGAAAACTGTTTTTGGATTGTCACAGGTAAACAACAGAAGAAGATGAACAGTTGTATTTTCAATAAACATATTTTTTTATATTTTAAGAATGCTAATGTCCATTAACCAAGTCAAAAATGTTAGCATTCTTCTAAAAATTTCACTGTTAAAGGTGCATTTATCAGTCCAGCTAATAAACTCTCTTAAACTAGACTCGTGTGTTTTTCCCAAAAAATTTTTGGGGTTTTTAATCCATTAGATTCCCTAGCAGTAGGCCGACACCTTAACTACTCAGTCATCTGGCCATCAGCGAAACTAATTAGACTGTCATATTGAACAACATTGACTAATTAGATAATTTGATTACTAACCAAAGATTAAGCTATTTATCAACTAAAAGTATCTTAATCTGATTTTTTATTTCATACAGATTTTCTTCCATTTACATGTGAATACTGCAAAGAAATTTATTGGTATGGTTATTTTTTTTATTATAAATTTTTTCCCAGAAATTAATAAATAAATTGAAACATATTTGAATATTTAATAAATTTTTATTGATTATAAATATGTTTAGTTCAGATCACCAATATCCATCCAATCATGAATGCAAGTCATTTCAGGTAAAATATTTTTGTATATTTCCATCAATTTGATAAAATTCAAAATATTTCTTCAGCCTTTCGAGGAATGCATTTTTATTTCTTCTTTCCTGTATAATTAAAAAGTCTCTTCCTCTGGTGATACGACTGATAACTATGAAATTCAAAAATAACTGGAGGAAATAGTTCATAAAAAACTTACGCCTTTATAAATTCATTTGCTGGATTTATAAAGGTGCAAGTTTTTTTATGATACAACTTGTATCCATTTTACTCTATTTTACTCTAAAAACTTTCCAAATGGCTGAATCCTGCATTTTTTTTACAGGAAAGCTGACTAGACAGTTTTTTTCTGATAGCAATAATCCATCTATTCCTGTGACAACCAGATGTTTTCTTTCCTTTATCCTATCATATAACACATAGTTAATCTATTTAGTATACAGACCTTAAGGAGTTTAAATTTTCAACATTATATTCTTTAGAAGGATATATATACTTGAAATCATTTGAGAGTTTTATTAGAAAAAAATTACACCAAACTTTTATTTTTATTCACTCTTGCTTATTCATCTATTATAACAAATACGGTCAAATCTTGATATAGTGCCACCTTTAAAACACTAACGAATACTTAAGAATGCATCTTCCTCATAAATATTAAATAGAGAACTCTTTGGTATCATATCTGTGAATTACTAAATATATATAATATGGAATTGCAAATAACATTATCATTAGCATATTACAGGATTTTCAAATTCAAACTAGTGTGAAGATTTCTTTACTACTGTCTCTAGGAAGCGGTGTAAATAAAAGTTGCGACTTTGCAACAGAGAAGGTGTTTTATGTATTGAAGTTCACAAAGTCAGAATCAGGCATCGTTGTGCAATATGAGTTTTGCAGACAATTTCAAGGTGATCCACCATATAATGCAAACATTCAGTGATATTGACAGTTCCAGGAGAAAGAATGTACTTGCAAAAAGACCAGAATTGTCCAAAACATCAGAGGAAAATGTGAATTGAATCAAAGCCAAAGCCAAACCAAAGAAAACAAATGTTTGAATGCAGATGGGAGATGAAACTTGGACAGTTACTCTATGAATTGATGTACTGTACATTGAATACTTCTCAGTAACAATTAGCATAATTACAGTAATTTAAAATGGTAGACACTAACTATTTATTTGAAAGACACTAATTATTATTGTTTGAAATACTTTAGTTTAGCACTACACTTGATTTAGTGCCAAGTTAAATAGTGGGGCTAAATCAAAATTTGACTGTATGACATAATATGCTTTCAGAATAAAATATGTAAGTGCATTATAGAAAGTTTTGTGTTAACTACAGTAGATTTAATAAATATATTTAATGAAAGGCATGGAGAAATATTTTATATTAATATGTGAATTCAATATTTTAGTTGTTGTTATGAAGTTTTATTTATTTATTAAAATTTCAGGATAAATTTGACTCTCAAGCAAAAAATAAATGCAAATCAGAACCATCTTACACGTGTAGTCTTCAAGACTGTGATCAGACAACTTTGGTGCCAGTAATATGTGATCATTGTAAACATATATTTTGTCTTCAACACAGACATCAAGTTGATCACAAATGTGAGAAGCTTAAACAAGCAGTTTGTGATAAACAATCAAAGCCAGTGAAGTTATTAGCTGAAGTAAAACCAGTTCAAGGTATTTTTAGATTTTTATATTCATTAGAACATTGATAATCTGTAATAATTGGAACTAATGATGGTTTGGGTTATTGAATCAAAGGAGTTATCTTAGTATTTTGCTACACTGAACATTTGAGAATCAGTTTCACAGATTGTTTATTTATATCAGCATGTTACAAAGACATAAAAGAACACAAAAATGGAGAAGCTGCACAGTAAAATATGAAAATCCAGTATTAAATCTTTTGGTACTTTTCTGTCATGTTGCATTCCCATGTCGTGACATTTCATTAATTAAAAAACTCAAACTTTTTTTAAAATTAACCAAAATGATTAATGTAAAATATTACAATTATGTACATTTTGTTAACTTTATTTTTGTTACATTAAAACATTTACTTATTACTACTTGAACAACATTTTAAAGTAATGTTACTTACTTTCCTTCTCTTAGGCCTGATGCACACAAATGATTTTTTTGCTGTTAGTGAACTATGGCAAATTGCTGTGTGGCCTAGTGAAGCTTAATTTAAATATAACATTGCACACATACATATGGCACTATAGCAGTGCCATAACATCTACTTTTTTCTGCAATTCTCTATAAGGATGTGTCAGTGCCACATGTTCATCTCCGTCCTCTCGATACATTTCTCTCAATCAAGTAGTGCACATCTGTCATTTTGTCATTGTTTTTAACATGGAGAATGTTACAACTCCAGAAGAAATTATCACAGAACATTTTGTTGATGAGATAATATCCTAATATCTAGAATGTTACAGTAATAGAATATCATGTAAAAAGTAAAAAAGAAAGTACATGGATTAACATTTGTAGGCTAGTTTCTAAAGGATTTAATGAAAAGGATGATAAGGACAAAAATGAAATCTACCTCTTAGAAGTCTTGAACTGGTAAAGGGGTGTTTTCACTTCTGCCTTTTTCTCGTTAAAAAATAACATATATACTAAATGTACAAAATTCATACATTTCCTCCTATACACACCTGTCTTGGGAATGAGTAGTATTTTGCTGTTAACTTGTGAATTGCCATCTCCAGTTCTGGTGCATCAATGCAGGATGTCAAAAAATCTATTTGTTTGTACTGAGCCTTAGAACAGTGATTCTTAACCACTGTGCCATGAGATTTTTGAAGTGTGCTGCCACTGCAAATACCCATACATAAGCAATGTCAGACAAGTAGTTCAATTGGTTCTACCTTCCTAGGGCACATTTGGAAATTGTAACTGGTGTTACCAGTAACTGCTGGTAGTTACCAAGGCATTTAGAAAATGTTACCTAAATAACCAACTGTGTTTAAAAATCACTGTTATGACTTCACTGGTTGTCATGCGGTACTGAAGTAACCATGTGTGCCACCAAATTTTTTAATTATGTACTATGACGAGAAAAAGGTTGAGAATCACTGCCTTAGAATAACAAGTTACATTTAAAAAGTTGCAGACAAAACTTAGATGATGATAATTCCTCAAGCCTACTAAACTCAAAACTAATCTTTGATCAATGCACCCATTAATTAGTCTATGCACCAAAATAATACTTACAAATTGCTGTGTTACAACTTCAACTTGGCTGTGATATCTTTGAATAAATGATGAGAATGTAAAATATTATATTGTCACAGAATACAAACATTATCATCTTTGTTATAATACAAATTGAAAATACTGTACAAATACATCATTCTACTGAACAATACATCTAACATGAAATGCTGAAATGATAGACTAATTTATATACAAACAGATTATTTGCAATATAAATTTCTGCTTAAAATTAATTCTGATATTAAATACAAAAATAAAAAATAAAATATTCTTAAAATTTTAGAAGTAAATAATTCTTACTTAGATTTTAATTTTTGCACATTTTAAATTATAATTCTATTAGGCTGTGTTGTTTCGTAAGCAATGAAATAGCTTGTGGCTTGTCGGAACACTGAGTGACATTGGAACATGACATGCAGGGATATAATAGAAAAACATCTATCTTTTTACTGTTTTCCAACTCTAAATATAAACTAAAATGTTTAAAATTTAGTATAATTTAGCTTATGTTATGTATGTTAAAAAAATAAAAATAATTAGGATAATTGGCATTCAGATTATCTCGACCTTATACAGGAAATCTTCATTAATTTGAACTCCGATAGTTCAAAATCACATTAATTCGTAACTGTACTAGCTGAGGATATAGAGATTTACATGTTAAGGAATTTAGTTAGTTCAAAATACAGCTGCTTTGAAATTTGAAGTGAAAATTTTGTCCAAACTGTGATTTGCATGTGTTGACTCATTCACATAGATCAAAGTGCCTCCATACTATAAGAGAACAATAGGCCAAGAACAACTCTAACCTGGTCAATTTAGCTTTGATTTCACAGTAATAGATTTTTGGTGTCACCTTATATATGGACTATTCATTTTTCTCTTATCTCATAAAATATTGCTGGGTTTCAGTATTGCAAGATTGGGCTACAAGTAGCAGATTGAGATATTTGTAGGACTCTAGGCTACTACATTTGGTTTTATATAGTCCCTGCTGTACTTCACTCCTACATGCTATTGTGGTGTTTGTAAAAGTGAGATAGTACGGTCCGCAAATGAAATGTACAGAAAGGAAACTGTGACAAAATCCAACAATATACACTATCCCTTTATTTCACTTTGAACAAATAAGGTTTTATAAAGAATTTCAACTGACTTGTAATATTTTACAATCTGAGGTGTCTTAAACAGGGGCCTTTGTTCCCCAACAAAGCACGATGGTATATTTCCCTGAGCGCGTAACAATTAAACAAAAATTCTTTCTTTATAACCTCGTGACTAAAACTAACTTAATCCTAACTTAAATATAACTTACCACTAAGGAAATAAGAAGGAAGATAGGATAGTTGGAAGTTAGCAGAAATGAAGGGATGATTCACCTGGGGTTTCTCTTTCCTCGGTTGATATGCGCTTTGGGTAGGGTCTTGGCTCAACGAAAATGGCTCTTATCTTTACTATCCTTCCTTCTCTTTTACTTATTGAAATTTTTAAATGTGCCAGTCTCTGTCTGTAAGCGTGAAGATTCCACTTCCTCTGATTCTCGACCTACTTAGAGGTGTCCCTAAGCCTCTTAGTAGAACATCTCTACTTCTCAATCTCTCACTGGACTATCTCAAACTTCTGTCCTCTCTACAAAATCATGCTCGGAGTTTCGTTTGACACATCCGACTCTCTCTGTGTCTGGTCCAAAAAGTGACTTGTCTCTGTGTCACCTGCTATTGTCATTACCGATTCTCTGAAGGCTAATCCTATGCAAAGGCGATAACAGTCGTCTTGGAAGGTTTTAGAAAGGATAGACAAAGGGAGTAAAGGAAATTGTGAGAATAAAATAGAAATATAACTTTTATATCGCTTTTGTTTTCGACATTGTTGCACATAAAAAACACGTAGTTAATCAACAACTAACTTTATTCCTTCTCTATACAACCGACTGGGGTGACGACTACCCAAGAACTCTCCCCGACTCCCGAAAGGTATGTGGGGAATGTTCACCCCTGACCCGACACCCAGATCAAGTTACTACAGATAAGTCACAACGTTACAACAGATCTTCCTCCTCTAAAATGAAGTCTCGGAGATGTGCCGGTAGTGTCCGTGTTCTAGAGCTCCTTCTAACCGGTGGTGCTTTGTCCTGATGTTGATTATTCTGGGGAGCTGGATGTTGGTTGTTTTGACAAACTGGATGTTGCTTGTTCTGGAGTGGTTGTTCTCTTCGAGCTATCAGTTGATCAATATGTCTTCTTTCTATAGTTCCTTCTGGTGAGGCTATCATGTATGTATATGGTCCGGTCTTCTTTGTCACCTTACCTGGTTTCCACTTCTTAGCGTCTCTATAACATCTGTAATTGATGTTGTCTCCTATTTGGAATTCTCGTATTCTTGTTTCCTCTTTTCTCTCCTTATATAGGTGTGGATTTAATCGATCATAGACGGTACGTAGTCTTCTTCCCATCAACAGTTCTGCTGCCGTTTTTCCTGTAGTGCTACTAGGTGTTGTGCGTAAGCTAAACAAAAGTCTGGGGAGCAACACCTCACTTTTTTCTTGGCTGTGATGTAATTTTTCGATTCTCTTCTTTATAGTTTGCACTTGTCTCTCTACTTGTCCGTTGGAAGAGGGATGATATGGAGGGGTAAATATGTGCTGTATCCCATTTTTTCGTATAAATTCTTCCATTTCTTGGGATTTAAAGCTTTGATGATTGTCGGATACAATTGTATTTGGTAGTCCATGTGTACTAAATATTCTTCTCAATAGTTTCACGGTTTCCTGGGTTGACTGAGTTTGTACTTCTTCTACCTCCACCCACTTCGAATAAGCATCCACTAGAATAAAATATGTACGTCCATAATGTGGTCCTGCATGATCAATGTGTACTCGGTCCCAAGGTCCCGAGGGTGATGGCCAATGAGTGTCTTTAACTGGGGTTGGGTTTGACCTCTGTTCTTGGCATTTTCTACACATCAATACCGTCTCTTCAATCTGGGAGTCCATTTCAGGCCACCAAAAATAGCTCCTGGCTGTTCTTTTCATTCTAGACATGCCCTCATGTGTGGAGTGTAACAGGTGTAATGTGTGGAGTGTAACAGGTGTAATAGCTGTGGTTGCAAGGTTCTATGGATAACTACTCTTTGTCCCCATAAAATGCAACCGTGGTGAATTGAAAGTTCTAGCTTACGCCTAGCGAAAGGCATAAGTTCTTCTGGACTACTAAGTGGCCATCCGTGTAAGATTGCATGTTCAACTCTTTTTAACACTGAGTCTTTGTTTGTCTCTCTGCTTACTTCCTGAGATGTGATGGGCAATTCTGGCTGTTCAAATATAAGGAATATCTCTCCTGGTTCGGGGATAGTCTTTTCTTCCACAGTAGTTGGTATACGCGATAATGCATCAACGTTAGTCATCTCTGCTGACCGACGATGTTCAATCCTATATGAGTATGCTGCTAATCTCAAACACCAACGAATCATTCTGGGTGAGATTAAATCAGGAATTGGTTTAGCAGGGTTCAGAAGGCCCACAACTGGCTTACAATCCGTATATATAGTAAAATTTCGAGCAGCTAGGTAATTATGAAATTTTGTGATGCCAAAGATTATAGCTAATACTTCTCTCTCGAATTGTGAATAATTTCTTTCTGCTGGGTGGAGTGTCCTCGATGCAAAGTATATAGGAGCTTCTGATCCATCTGGTAATATGTGTGAAAGTACTGCTCCAACTCCATATGGTGAAGCATCACATGACAACAATACTGGTTTATTTAAATCATAATGGATTAATAATGTTTCTGGTGTTAGCATCTTTTTTATCTTCACGAATGCTTTGCTTTGTTCTTTTTTCCAGATCCATGGTTTGTTTTTGTCTAGGAGTCTATATAATGGTTCAGCTTCCGTTGCTTTATCTTTCAAAAATCTATCATAGAAGTTTACAAATCCCAAAAATGCTTGTAACTCTTGTTTGTTTCTCGGGTCCCGAACCTGTTGGATCGCCGCAATTTTATCTGGTGTGGGTCGAATGCCCTGAG